ATGGCTAAGACCAGGGTTACCAGAAAACATGAGATGACCTATGAACAGCGATTTGGGTCGCAAGACCTCAAACGTGGGTTGTTCACAACCTGGATCACTCCTATCTTTGACCCCAACTATTTATCTAATCACTAAATTAAAACCCAGATCCCCAATATAAACCCCAATCTCATATCATACCAAATCATTGCAAATTACACACATTAAGTTATAATAAGCCAAAGTAAAGTGTAGGTAACTACTCGATGGATCTTTGCCTTGACTTCTATGCTTTGATTTCTCTGCTTCCAGTTTCTTCAACTTCTCTGCTTCGAGTTTCTTCGACTTCTTCTTTAAGCTTCGTCAACTTCTCTGATTCGTCGCTCTCTCTCTGTTTCTCTTCTCTAGTTCATCGCTCTCACTTTGTTTCTCTCTCTCTGTGTGCTTCGTTGACGACTGATGAGAAAGGAGAAACATCGCCTATGTCCTTTTTTTTTTTTTTTTTCTCTCTCTCTCCTAATTGCCACCGACTTATGTGATGGACCGATGGAGTTGTCTGGGAAATAGTTACCCTACTTGGTAGGGTTAATACCTAGTTTGTGTGAAAAGACCAAAAACCCCAACTATTTTATAAGAATAGAGAATACAACTTGGATAAAAAAGTCAAAATTAAGTTAGGGTAATTAGGAATTAGGAAGCTTACTTATACACGTATATATATATATATTAATCCCAATTACAATTTTTTATCCTCTGTACCGCCTCTCTCTTGCTCCTCAACAATTCATTCAATATCTCTCTACTATATTGAATTTTTGTTACTTGAAAAAATGGTTTTGGGGAAAGGAGGAAGGAATAACAAGACTTTTCTCAGGTTGAAGAACAATTCGGAATTAATATTTAGAATTTAGATGATTCTGTTGATGAACAAGAAGTCGAACATAAAGTAATGGAAGAAGATAACACTAGGCAACCACAAAAAAATCGCACAAATGAAGATCAATTACAAGTTGATACAAAATTGAAACCATTACTCAATAAAGTCAATCTTATTGGTGCAGCTCAAGGAAAATATCTAGGGGGATCAAAGATTTGGTCATGTAAGCATTGCGGTGGTAAATTTACAAATTCGTATACTCGAATGCATTACCACTTTTTTGGTGCCCCACCCGAGAAAAAAATATAAATTAAACGGTGTCAAGCGTTAATGAATAATTTGACTGAATATACAAAATTGCGAGAAAGAGTACAAAATGCAGAAAAAATAGGATTTTCTTCATTCCTGAAAAATTCTACATTGATGAAACGACAACCTTCGCCGACGACGGAATTAATTAAAGATGCATTCAAAATAATGGATTGAGACATGGTTGACTTGAAGGTCATGAGGGGATTAAGTGTTAATGGAATTCCATTCAATGTGTTGAGAAATCCTCAATTCAATAAAATGATTTCAGCTATAAATAGAAGACCTACATTATTGGATGAGTGTAAAAGAAGTGTTGAAAAATATTTGATTCTGGTTAAAGATCCATGGTATTCTAATGGNATTGGATGAGTGTAAAAGAAGTGTTGAAAAATATTTGATTCTGGTTAAAGATCCATGATATTCTAATGANTGGATGAGTGTAAAAGAAGTGTTGAAAAATATTTGATTCTGGTTAAAGATCCATGGTATTCTAATGGGGTATCCATTGTATCAGATGGGTGGACTAATGTGAAACATCAATCACTTATTAATATCATTGCTGCAAATAGTTGTGGAGCTATGTTTTTTATATGCTAAGAATTTTTTGGGGATAGAGAAAACAGGTATAGTAATTACTGATTTTTTGTTGAAAATCATCGAAGAAGTAGGTCCACTAAATGTCATTCAAGTAGTGACCGATAATGCAGTAAATTGTAAACTTGTGAGGAAAGACGTGAAAAAAGATACGCAAACACATATATTGGTCTCCTTGTGTTGTTCATGCTCTGAATCTAATTTTTAAAGACTTTGCAAAAGAATTTGAGTGGTTTAGAGATACTTATAGATGGGGAAAGTCTATTGTTAAATATTTTTTAAACCATACACATGCTTTGGCTATGCTTAGGGCTTAGTCTAAATTGGAGCTAAAGGGGGCTCGGCGGGAAGAGGATTGTACCGTGAGAGAAGCAAGGAGGTCAACCTCTTTAAAAGTGGCTAACACTAGGTTTGCATCACATTATATTTTGTTGAAATGACTTATTGACTATAGAGAGTCCCTTGCAACTACCATTGTTCTCAAGTCATGGAAAGAATTGGTAAAATCTGGGGATGAACACACAAGGAAGTTAGGGGTCTTGGTCACAAAAACCGTTAATAGTGAAGAATTTTGGGAGGATCTGGAGAATCATAAGTATCACAAAGCCCATATTTTTTCTTATTAAATTTTGTGATAGAGAAGGTCAAAAAATGGGTAAGATTTATTAAAAGATGAACATTATGCTTGGTGAAATAAAAGATATTATGAGGGGTGGAACACACGTTGATAAATTTCCCAAATTGAAAAAATTGTGCTTGAAAGATGGGAGAAGATGAATATTCCTTTGCATTGTCTTGGTTTGCACTAACACCACGATTTTATGATACCCAATATCTTACTAAGCTAACACCGGGAGGTACAGTTAGGAAAACTCCAAATCAAGATAGGGAGGCCATCATAGGTGTTATGGAAGCTTTGGAAAAGATAGCAGAAGATGTAGAAGAAGCAAAATAATTGCGAGAACAGTATGCACATTTTCACTAGCAAAAGGGTCTTTATACTACGGCAGCTGCTCAAACAGATATTGTGATTATAGATGCTATTAATTGGTGGTCGACATATGATTCAAAAACTCCCGAATTAGCAGATGTGGCGAAAAATGTACTAATTTAAATTAAAAGTTATTTATTTCTATTGTTAATTATCATTATAAATGTGTCTTATTATTTTTTCATAAAAGGTGTTATCACAACCAATTACAAGTTCTTCAACTAAAAGAAATTAGAGTATGTATTCATTTATTCACAATGTCAAGAGAAATAGATTGAATTCTACCAAAGCTAACAAATTAGTTTTCATCCATTCAAATATTTGTATCTAATCACGTTTCACTGAAAGATACAAAAATGGCCCTTTAAAGAAATGTGATATAAATTCAGAGTATACATATATAGATAATTCTAGTGTAAGATTGGAGGATTTGCGATAGAAATCCTTAAAGGATGACAATAAAGATAGTTCTACTATTGCTAGAGATAAAGATCGGGAAGCTTCATCCTTACATACTTCTATGCCCGTCTCTATTGCCAAGCCACCTACTAGTTCTAGTAGGCCACCACTCCATTATTTTGGACTGCATCGGGCTCAAATTAGTAACTTTGCAAGAGGAGATAACACTTCAAAAGATAATGGAAAAAGAGTTGACGATTAACTCTTGTGCTCCAATTTTTTCTTATTATTAAGTAATTTTTATTTGATACTTGTTAGATTTTAAGAATGTTATTTTGATTTGTGCTTCAAGTAGGAAGCTATTTAATCGCTCTCTAGTATGTTATTTTTTAAATTTTAAGTCCTTAAATTTATATTCTGTTTTTTTTTTATAATAAAATATACAACCATTATTTTTTTATACAAGATTATTAGTTGATGTTTTGTTGTTGGTCTTGATTTGTCTTGAAATTCCTACAACAAATACAAAATAAATGTTAATTAAGTAATATCTTATACATATATAAATAAAATAAGAGTGAGCAAATTATTATAGGTTTAAAACAAGTAACAACTAATTATATGTACAATGTATAAATTTATATAATTATTTGTAATAATGAAAATGATCCAGATAATATTTCAAAGCGAATCGCGACCCAAAATAGCATACCACCTAAACCTACTCCCACGGCACCGCACATCGGAAAAGGTAACGTATCCCGCACCTATACCTGTACCATGTACCCAACTGACCCGCAATCCAAGTAACCCTAGCCAAGACTCTTTGGCCAATTCCTTTTCATCTAAGAGCCACTTTGTTTGGAATAGATAAACTAGAATGTGTCTACATACAACATTAGAGATACAAAAGCTTAAAATTTGAGTTAGAATTTTGTCTTCAATTCAAATATATACAATTTTGTTGTTCAATTTTGTTTGGTGTGATTTTGTATTGAAAGTGGAGGTGATTGTTTGATTTCATTTGAGTGAAATTTTCTATGTAAATTCAAAAGTGATACTGCTTTGGAATCTCACTAGTGATATGAAACATAAGGATGAGAAAGGATAAAATATTTTGGTGGAAAAAATTTAAAAAATGAATTTTGGGACACTAAGGGAATTTTTTTAAAAGATTTGAGTAGCTATTTGAGTTTGTCCATTAGAGTACTCTATACCAAATCAAGCTTTTTACTCAAATTTAGACACAAATATGAGTCTACATTTGAGTCATGGTTGGAGATGCTCTAAGGAGAGTCACTCAAAGAAACCAGGTTGGATCAACCAACAAAACCTCCCTCTTGAATAATGGACAGAGGAGGGATTAAGCTATGCAGCCACTGGAGTGGGCAGTTGCTTATATGCTGATTTCATACTGAAAACCAAGAAGAGAATTAGTTATGCTCGCATATGTGTGGAAATAGATGCTTCTCAAGATACAACTGAATCATTTGACCTCAAGGTAGGTGATGAAGATGAGAGCTCTATTATTGAAGTGAGAGTTGAATACCCTTGGAAGCCAAGGAGATGTGAAAGTTGCCAGGTTTCTGGACATACAGTTGCTAATTGTGTAAAGAATCACCAACAACCTGCACTAGCCAAAGGAGGAGATCAATGGAAAGAGGTACTACAACCCAAGAATACCACTACCAGAAAAGGCAATGAAATTGCCTCAACTGTTATAGTTGTTATGCCAGTGTCATATAAAGGAAACAAATCTTGTGGAAAAAGATAGAGCACAACTGAAAGTAGAACAGAGGCAAGGAATCCATTCTGGCCATATCCAAGAATAGGTAATGCCAATCAGAAATGAATGTTGCTTGTAATTACCTCGAGTCACCAATTTCATCAGCTAATAAATTTGCTAATTTAATGGAAGAACATAATGAAAGCAACTTATTATCTAAGTCCTTGTTAATAACTAGAGATGGTAAAGGCATAGTTGAGTCCAATGATATGGAAATGACTGATACTGCTAATAGCAAGAAGAAAAAGAGGAAAATTAAAAAAGCAGCTATGGGTAGACGTAGTGGCAAAAAGTCTAGGAAAGGAAAATCCCAGCAAGGCTCCTCCACCACCAAAATTAAATGATCAATTTTGCATGTTGGAACATAAAGGGCAAGAATACCTTTGAAAAACAGGAGCAAGTAACGAAATTGATCTAAGATTAGCATCTTGATTACACTTGGTAGAATTTGGTTTGGTTGGGATTCTTGTATACTCAAAAGTATCCAAAATTAGAGAGAGTGACCAGATAGTGCATTGTTCTGTCACAATTTTGGAGAAGAAAACTGAAATTGTTGTCTCTTTTGTTTATGCTGTGAATGATGAGAGAGATAGAAGGCCATTGTGGAGAGACATTCTGCACCATGCTACCAATTTTGCTTCCAAGCCTTGGAATGTGTTGGGGGATTTTTATGCCATAAGGTCACTTCAAGAAGTTGAAGGTGGCAATAAAAGGTGGAATCAAGCTATGATGGAGTTTAACAATTACATTCAAGATGCTGAACCCCTTGAACTTGGGTACTCTGGAGTCTTCTTCACTTGGTCTAATAGAAGGGGGGTTAATGATTGTACTGTTAAAAGCTTGACAGGGTGCTTATAAATGAAATTTGGAACCTCTAATATACAGCATCCAGGGTTGAAGTTCTTACTGCTGGTATTTCTGACCACTCTCCAATTATGGTGAAAATGGGGGATAGCTGGAAAGGAGGAGGACTCCCTTTAAGTTCTTTAACCTGTTAGCAGAGATAGAAGACTTTCTAGCAACAGCTTGAAGAATCTGGGGAGAAAATGTGAACGGTTCATTGCAGTGTCACTTGCAAGCTAAAACTGTTAAAATCAGAATTCAAGAAGATGAATAAAGCTATTTTTGAAGATGTGTCACTAAGAGTTAAAGAAACTAAAGCTCAATTGGACCATTCCCAAAGAAGAATGGACATGCAGCCTATGGAACCTTTTCTTAGAAGTCCAGAGAGGTCTTTACTCCAACAGTATGTGAACTAGATAAAAGCTGAAGGGTCATTTTTCAGGCAGAAGTCAAGGGTTCAGTGGCTTAAAGAAGGGGATCAAGACACCGCTTACTTTTTTAGGACCATGGCAACCAGAAGAAATAGGAATAAATTGACTTCAATTACTAATGATGAGGGAATTGTAATAGAAGACACAACAGAAGTCAAGAGAGTGGTTTTGGATCACTTTCAAAACCTTCTTGGAAACACATTGTAGTGTCCACTCAACAAGGAGGAACCGAGGAAGAGCTAAGGAATATTGCTTACAATAGAATTTTTTATGTACAAGCAGCAACTATGAATTTTCTGATGATGAGATCATGAAATACTCTCTTTTCACTTCATCCTAACAAGGCACCAGGGCCTGATAGTTTTAATGCATGCTTCTTCAAAGAAGCTTGGACTATAATTGAGAAAGATGTTATAGCAGCTGTGCAAGAATTCTTCAGAACTGGCATGATGCTTAGAGAGGTAAATAATACCATTCTTGCATTGGTGCCTAAAAATGATNTAGCAGCTGTGCAAGAATTCTTCAGAACTGGCATGATGCTTAGAGAGGTAAATAATAACATTCTTGCATTGGTGCCTAAAAATGATAATCCTACAAACATGAGAGAATAGAGGCCAATCTCATGTTGTAACATGCTATATACTATCATTTCTAAGATCATGGATAATAGAATAAAAGGGGCTCTCAATGGTCTCATAAGCCCAAACCAGTCTGCATTTGTGGAAGGAAGAAAGAATGGATATAATGACCTATTGCCGCAAGAGGTTAAAAGGGACTATGACAGGAATTTAGGAGCCCCTAGATGTGCAGTCAAAGTAGATCTTATAAAGGCATATGACACACTTTATTGGGATTTTGTCATTTTGGTTCTTAAGCACATGAACTTCCACCCTGTTATGATAAACTGGATTTAGACATGCATCTCATCTGCTAAATTTTCAGTCCCATTGAATGGTGAACTAGTTGCATTTTTTCCTAGTGCAAGAAGAATTAGGTAGGGGGACCCCCTATCCCCTTACCTATTTGTTATTGCAATGGAAATTCTCTCTCAAATTTTGAAGTAACAGATTGGTGCAGCTGGTAATTTCAAGTTTCACTAGAGGTGCAAAAATCAGAAACTGGTTCGTTTGAGCTTTGCTGATGATCTCATATTATTTTGTCATGGTGACTATAATTTTGCCTCTATCATAAAAGCTGCTTTGGTGAAGTTTCAAAATTTCTCAGGACTTGAGGAAAATCACACGAAAAGTCAGATTTTCTTATCAGGAATAAATCAGATCAGAGAGATTGGATTTTACAATGTTTTGGGTTTGAAAACATGTGAGCTACCTATGAGATACCTTGAAATACCCTTTATTTGTACAAAGCTTAGGCCTAGGGATTGTGTTGCTTTGATTGAAAGGACTGAATCTAGAATTAAATCCTGGATTAATAAGACCCTCTCATAAATAGGTAGGTTGTTACTTGTAAAATCTTTGCTTTTCAATATTCAAAGTTACTGGTTGTGCCATTTTATACTACCAAAGGGAGTTCTTAAAAGAGTAGAGCAGTTGCTATGGTTTTTCCTATGGTCTGGCTCTAATCTGACCAGTAAGGGGGCTAAAGAAGCTTAGGAAAAGGTTACCAAACCTAAAATTAAGGGGGATTGGGACTAAAGAGGCTCTATGAATGGAACAAAGTGCTGATGATTAGGCATATATTGTGTTTGTTTACTGATAAAGAAATCATTTGGGAAACATGGATGAATGATGTGTACCTTAAGAGTAGAAGTTTTTGGGCAGTGAAAATGCCGTAGACCTGCTCTTGGAACTGGAGAAAACTGCTAAAGTTGAGAGAGATGGCAAGAGCTCTAATCAAACACATGATTGGAGATGGCAAAACAACTAATTTATGGTATGACAACTGACATAACCATGGACCCTTACTCCTCATATGGCCACAGGACATTATTGAACATTTCAACTCTTCTGCTAAGGCCAAAGTGGAGGATATCATATGTGGAAATCAATGGCAGTGCCCTGTGACTCAGTTTAGTGGTTATAAGGAGATCCTAACTTCAATGCTAGACTATAATCCTAATCCTCGGACACCAGATCAAGTAAAGTGGAGTGCCTCTGCCAATGGTCACTACACAACCAAATCAGATTGGAGCAGTATCTCTACCCCTTCCTCAAAGGTGTGCCGGAGTAAACTCGTCTGGTTTGGTAAGGCTATTCCCAAAAATGAGTTTTATTTTGTGGCTTGCTGTTCTGGAGAGATTGAACACAAAGGGTAGGCTACATGCCTATATGCAGCAAACTGCTGTTATATGTGTTTTCTGTAGAACAGAGGAGGAAAACCATAACCATTTTGTTTTTCAATTGTTCCTTCACAGCAAATATATGGACTGGAATAATGAAGAGAGAATGTGGCATTAATTGGCCTCTTACTTCATGGCCCTTGTTAGTTCAAAAAGCTTCTAATAAGTGGCGGGGCAAATCTAAGAAGGTCATAATTCAAAAACTATCTTTGGCTGCAGCTGTCTACATAGTGTGGAAAGAAAGAAATGGAAGAATATTTAGGAATGGATACAGGGATGCGACATCAATTCTGTAAGACATTGTGAATGTGGTGCGAAACAGGTTGATCTCTCTAAAGATGAAGAACACTCCTCGGAACAGAGTTATCGCTCACAGTTGGCAGGTTCCAAGCCCATGTTGATTTTTCTTGCATGGAGTTTTTGCCTATAGGTCCACCTGTTATAGCTTGACTCAATCTACAAGAGTACTGGAAGAACTTCCAAGTATTCTCTTAGATTGATTCTCTTACTCCACTTTTTGTTTCATAGTGGCAGTAGATTGAAATGATACAATGACACTTGTAAAGAAGGCCATTAGTGGCAGTTGTATTTTTTCTTGCTTACCAATACATTTATTTACCTTCCAAAAAAAAAAAAGAAATACTAGAAAAATCTAAAATTTAACTATCATACACAATCAACACTGCAAGCAGACTACTTATATAGTGGCCAACCTAGCTTAACTATAGTTCTAAAACAAAGAAGATTTTATGATAAAATGTTGTGCCTTTTTAGCTTTTACAAGCATACAACATGGGCATAATGTTGTTTTGGATAGCTGTTTATTTTTAAGTTCCTAGAAAATGACTTGTCAGATTTGAAGAAGAGGAAGGAGAAGCAGCGCCCATACCGCATCAAATAGAGGAGGATTTGTTTGATCACATGTTCTGAGTTCTTAGTATACTGCACCCTTAGGATTTCTATTCAATTGTATCCAAAGTTCCAATGAATCAGAATAGGGTGGAATTAGAAACAGAAACATGATAAAGTAGACACTCGATGTCAAAATGGTTGACAAGTGGACATCCGTTAGCTAAAAAGTCTCCCCTTACAAGGAGANGTTTTTGCCTATAGGTCCACCTGTTATAGCTTGACTCAATCTACAAGAGTACTGGAAGAACTTCCAAGTATTCTCTTAGATTGATTCTCTTAGTCCACTTTTTGTTTCATAGTGGCAGTAGATTGAAATGATACAATGACACTTGTAAAGAAGGCCATTAGTGGCAGCTGTATTTTTTCTTGCTTACCAATACATTTATTTACCTTCCAAAAAAAAAAAAGAAATACTAGAAAAATCTAAAATTTAACTATCATACACAATCAACACTGCAAGCAGACTACTTATATAGTGGCCAACCTAGCTTAACTATAGTTCTAAAACAAAGAAGATTTTATGATAAAATGTTGTGCCTTTTTAGCTTTTACAAGCATACAACATGGGCATAATGTTGTTTTGGATAGCTGTTTATTTTTAAGTTCCTAGAAAATGACTTGTCAGATTTGAAGAAGAGGAAGGAGAAGCAGCGCCCATACCGCATCAAATAGAGGAGGATTTGTTTGATCACATGTTCTGAGTTCTTAGTATACTGCACCCTTAGGATTTCTATTCAATTGTATCCAAAGTTCCAATGAATCAGAATAGGGTGGAATTAGAAACAGAAACATGATAAAGTAGACACTCGATGTCAAAATGGTTGACAAGTGGACATCCGTTAGCTAAAAAGTCTCCCCTTACAAGGAGAATCCGATGAGACTGTGAACAACTTAGGAGCGGAAACAAGTACATCTTGATTTATTTAAGAAGTAGAATTTCTAATTTATGTACCCCAAAAAAAAAAAAATTCTTTCTTGGAAAACATGTGTTGTCAAATTATTCGAATTTCATGTCAAAGGTTTATAGAAGGAGTCAACCACTTGGATAATATATCCAAGTCCACTCCTTAATTGATAGGAATTCCTGGCAATCCAACAAAATAAATAGAACTAATATAAGTAGAGGTAATAACATAGTATTGTAAGCAAGAGGAAGTCCTTTTTAGAACTTAACAACCATTAGTTTGACCAAATTTTATATTGGAGCACCACTTTATTGATATTGAAAGCACCTTTTGTCAAACAATTGGCATGTACCTAAAGGACACCTCCTCTCATGCTCACAGCTGGCAGAATCAAGGTTCTAGATACCATGTCTTTAACATATATTTTTGAAGAGACCCTCACTGTCTCCCAACCAATTCAAGACAACCAAATAAACTAAGTAGAAAAGCAATAGACCTTTGTTGGCAGTTTTCCACAAAATTAGATTAGATCAAACGTCTAATGCAAGTTTTGCCGCATCAAATACTCAAATGAGAAAAAATCCAACTTGGCATGTTTGGGTGGAAATAACATCGCCATATGCTCGAGTGCACCAGCCAACCATCACCTCCTCCGCAAAGGACACGTCTGTGTGTGTGAGAGATAACCCTTACCAAAGAGAATATTTTTTGGGCCAAACTATAATTTTATATTATCAAAGGGACCATATTGCAATTAATCTATCTGTGAGGTAGTGGGTCTGCACAACCACCCACTAAGGTTCCTCTTACTATAATATATACTTACAAATGGGATATAAACTGCTGGTTACGGTTTATATTGAAAGTGAATAAATTTGTATCATTTTTATATCCTAGAGAGAGAGAGAGAATATGGGAACATGAATGATTAGAGATATTTAGGTTAGTCCTTTGGTGAGAAAAAGAATAAAGAATCAAGGCTCACATTCGGTTACATTGGTAATGCACCTATCCATAGCAGACTCTAATACCCTCTGGTTCTTAGTTAAAGACCATGAAATGACGACTAGAGTTTGGGTTGGTTTGTAACCATGAGAATGTGAGTGAAAAGGAAGAGAAAGAAGAGATAAATTGGAAAAGCCAAATCATACTGTAAATGATTTTTCTAAGCCTATACTACTCGTTTGGATTAGAAAACTAATAGTTCAACATTAGACTCAATGCTTAGGATTTATTGTTTATATCGATAAGAATATTTTAGGGCTTCTGGCTATTGAAATAAAGTGAGGAAAAATAAACATCCCCACCACCAACCCCCGTCGACACCCAAAAAAAAAATCACACACACAACAAAAGAGGAAAAAAACAGTCAAGTGAAGAAAACAGAGAAAATAAGGCTTACTGTGAGGCATAAAGTAACATGTGGGACTCAATTGGCTGTGCTTGGGTAGGCAGGCACAAGCAACAGCCACTAAGGCTACGTGGGTCACCTGGGTAGGCACAAGAGGCAGCCACAAACACCATAGGGGTCACGCTTCGCCTTATAACGGACTCAAGAAGATCCAGGCTGAGGTTTCGATCGGCAGGTACTCTTGATCGACAGGCACTCTGCTTGCCAAGAAGTATTCTACCCAAGGGTCCTCCTGCGTGCTCTCTTACATTAAATGAGTCCTACTCAGCTAAGAATTAACTTGGGAGGTAGAGCCCTAGCAAAACACTATTTCGAGTATCAAACGACTATTGATAAAATCATTGCCACTTGGCAGGCGCATCCCATCCTCGAAGGACCTATCATCCTAGTATGATTTTACCTTAACAATAAAATTTATTTTATTACAACTTAGAGTTTAAACTTTCTTTGGAATTTAATTTTATACCATTATAAATAAAAATCTCAGGTACTAAGTGAGGCATAAAACTTTAACTTATTCACCACATACTTTTATTTGACTTGAGGATTAAAGTTTCTTTAGAATCTCTTAGATCATCTCTAGCCATCGATTTATTTAGGTGTTTTCTTGTCTTACATGGTACTCCAAGCTTATTTACCACCATCGTCGTCCATACGAGTGCCTAAGGCTTTCAGAAATTTGTTTTGGTAAGCAACATCCAGAAATTATGCACTTGGCCTAGCTCAAATTTTTTCCAAAATGACCTGTTTAATAACTCTTCAACTCCACCAGTAATTTGTTTAAGTAAAAACGATTCTGAAAGAGGAGGAAGTGGAAAACTGACCTCAAATGAATCTTCCCGCTTGGATTTCAATGACATGGAGTAAGTGATGATGCAGTACCCTTAACAAAACATTCTGACAAGACGTACAAAAGAATCAAATTACTGGCATTCATTTTATTGACTGGCATGCACGCAAATGCACACAAATATACACAAATTTGAAATTCCCACAAAAAATTAAATTGAATTGATGGAGATATGTAGGAATGAAATGCTTCTCATGCACAATTAGTAGGATTTCTCATGATGTGAATAGGCCCTTCTGCCCTAGATATACCACCACAAAGCTGCCCTGCAATGTTTGGGGAGCTTAAATAGGTTGATTTTATGGATTTTGACGTAAAACAAATCAGGTTTATTTGGACTTGGGCTTTTGGATCAGCTTATGCAGTAATTCTTTTGACAAAAAAGGATCATTTAGACCGATTCAAAAAGTTAATTTTATGAATTTTTTTTTTGAAATTTTTAGAGGTTTATTGTGAGTTTTACATAATTTTTTAGTTTATTATATTCATAAAATATTATTAGTCACGTAAAAAACTTAAAATTCATATTTTGAGAACTATTATACACAATTTATACATACATGTAATTATTTTTTAATATTGATGCAAAAAGCTAGAAAGTTACTACAAATAGATTTTTTTAACTTTTTCACCTTTCTGGAGAACATCCCAAATGGTTTTGAGGGTTTTTTTCTAACTCAAACTTTTTTGTGAAAATTTTCAAACCACAATTTTCATCTACAAAAGCTAGCCCCAAACAAATAACTACAAGATTCACGTAGGATACAATATAGTTACACATATAGCAAAACATGAAAAAATAAGACACGCATAAATCACCCTTTACATTCTTAACATTAACTTGTGATTCAGTAATATAATTTTCAATAATTTCCTTGATGAGAAATCACAAAATAAAGAAGATTTATGTTTAAAGAACCATAATTATCTTATCACGGTATGACTACAAAGTGAATTGTGTAATTGAAGTAATTATGAGGAATACCATTTACCAAATTGATTTGCCTAAATATATNTCAATCTACAAGAGTACTGGAAGAACTTCCAAGTATTCTCTTAGATTGATTCTCTTAGTCCACTTTTTGTTTCATAGTGGCAGTAGATTGAAATGATACAATGACACTTGTAAAGAAGGCCATTAGTGGCAGCTGTATTTTTTCTTGCTTACCAATACATTTATTTACCTTCCANAGGTAGTGGGTCTGCACAACCACCCACTAAGGTTCCTCTTACTATAATATATACTTACAAATGGGATATAAACTGCTGGTTACGGTTTATATTGAAAGTGAATAAATTTGTATCATTTTTATATCCTAGAGAGAGAGAGAGAATATGGGAACATGAATGATTAGAGATATTTAGGTTAGTCCTTTGGTGAGAAAAAGAATAAAGAATCAAGGCTCACATTCGGTTACATTGGTAATGCACCTATCCATAGCAGACTCTAATACCCTCTGGTTCTTAGTTAAAGACCATGAAATGACGACTAGAGTTTGGGTTGGTTTGTAACCATGAGAATGTGAGTGAAAAGGAAGAGAAAGAAGAGATAAATTGGAAAAGCCAAATCATACTGTAAATGATTTTTCTAAGCCTATACTACTCGTTTGGATTAGAAAACTAATAGTTCAACATTAGACTCAATGCTTAGGATTTATTGTTTATATCGATAAGAATATTTTAGGGCTTCTGGCTATTGAAATAAAGTGAGGAAAAATAAACATCCCCACCACCAACCCCCGTCGACACCCAAAAAAAAAATCACACACACAACAAAAGAGGAAAAAAACAGTCAAGTGAAGAAAACAGAGAAAATAAGGCTTACTGTGAGGCATAAAGTAACATGTGGGACTCAATTGGCTGTGCTTGGGTAGGCAGGCACAAGCAACAGCCACTAAGGCTACGTGGGTCACCTGGGTAGGCACAAGAGGCAGCCACAAACACCATAGGGGTCACGCTTCGCCTTATAACGGACTCAAGAAGATCCAGGCTGAGGTTTCGATCGGCAGGTACTCTTGATCGACAGGCACTCTGCTTGCCAAGAAGTATTCTACCCAAGGGTCCTCCTGCGTGCTCTCTTACATTAAATGAGTCCTACTCAGCTAAGAATTAACTTGGGAGGTAGAGCCCTAGCAAAACACTATTTCGAGTATCAAACGACTATTGATAAAATCATTGCCACTTGGCAGGCGCATCCCATCCTCGAAGGACCTATCATCCTAGTATGATTTTACCTTAACAATAAAATTTATTTTATTACAACTTAGAGTTTAAACTTTCTTTGGAATTTAATTTTATACCATTATAAATAAAAATCTCAGGTACTAAGTGAGGCATAAAACTTTAACTTATTCACCACATACTTTTATTTGACTTGAGGATTAAAGTTTCTTTAGAATCTCTTAGATCATCTCTAGCCATCGATTTATTTAGGTGTTTTCTTGTCTTACATGGTACTCCAAGCTTATTTACCACCATCGTCGTCCATACGAGTGCCTAAGGCTTTCAGAAATTTGTTTTGGTAAGCAACATCCAGAAATTATGCACTTGGCCTAGCTCAAATTTTTTCCAAAATGACCTGTTTAATAACTCTTCAACTCCACCAGTAATTTGTTTAAGTAAAAACGATTCTGAAAGAGGAGGAAGTGGAAAACTGACCTCAAATGAATCTTCCCGCTTGGGTTTCAATGACATGGAGTAAGTGATGATGCAGTACCCTTAACAAAACATTCTGACAAGACGTACAAAAGAATCAAATTACTGGCATTCATTTTATTGACTGGCATGCACGCAAATGCACACAAATATACACAAATTTGAAATTCCCACAAAAAATTAAATTGAATTGATGGAGATATGTAGGAATGAAATGTTTCTCATGCACAATTAGTAGGATTTCCCATGATGTGAATAGGCCCTTCTGCCCTAGATATACCACCACAAAGCTGCCCTGCAATGTTTGGGGAGCTTAAATAGGTTGATTTTATGGATTTTGACGTAAAACAAATCAGGTTTATTTGGACTTGGGCTTTTGGATCAGCTTATGCAGTAATTCTTTTGACAAAAAAGGATCATTTAGACCGATTCAAAAAGTTAATTTTATGAATTTTTTTTTTGAAATTTTTAGAGGTTTATTGTGAGTTTTACATAATTTTTTAGTTTATTATATTCATAAAATATTATTAGTCACGTAAAAAACTTAAAATTCATATTTTGAGAACTATTATACACAATTTATACATACATGTAATTATTTTTTAATATTGATGCAAAAAGCTAGAAAGTTACTACAAATAGATTTTTTTAACTTTTTCACCTTTCTGGAGAACATCCCAAATGGTTTTGAGGGTTTTTTTCTAACTCAAACTTTTTTGTGAAAATTTTCAAACCACAATTTTCATCTACAAAAGCTAGCCCCAAACAAATAACTACAAGATTCACGTAGGATACAATATAGTTACACATATAGCAAAACATGAAAAAATAAGACACGCATAAATCACCCTTTACATTCTTAACATTAGCTTGTGATTCAGTAATATAATTTTCAATAATTTCCTTGATGAGAAATCACAAAATAAAGAAGATTTATGTTTAAAGAACCATAATTATCTTATCACGGTATGACTACAAAGTGAATTGTGTAATTGAAGTAATTATGAGGACTACCATTTACCAAATTGATTTGCCTAAATATATTTATTGTTGAGAGACTATAAATTGATCAACCCTAGAACACAATGCCAATAACGAAACTAATTTGAGAACAAAACAAAGNATTTATTGTTGAGAGACTATAAATTGATCAACCCTAGAACACAATGCCAATAACGAATAAATTGATGACGAAACTAATTTGAGAACAAAACAAATGCCTAAATGAAGAATTTTGTTGCACAAATAGAAAATACTCACAAACAAACTGATATTGGGAGAATGAAGGTGGAAACTTAGAAAGATGTTCGCAGAATCTGTTCTAAATGATACCAATGTATTCTTTCTTGTCTTCTGTCTAGGCGTAATTGGGCAACATTTTATTCATCGATTCATCTATTCATGAACTTTCAAAATAGTTATTCTTTGTTGCTTGCATTGCATGGGGAAACGGGAAAAGGCTCAGAAACAACAAAGGGCAAGAGAAACAAAGAAAGTCCGAATCCCAAAAGGGTGATGAAAATGGGATTAGTCCTTGTTGAACCCTTCGATGTACAGACGCTAGATTGTTGTTTTTACTATTATTATCATTGGTTTTAAAGATAGCTAAGGAGAGAAAATTGTGGGAAGGAGGAGAGAGAATAATTGCAAATTTTGGAAAGTCCATCTGCATAAATGTTAATTTGTATAATGTGCAAATTATATCAGAGAGAAAAAGGGAAGACGACGACGACGACAAAAATAATGTGGGGAGAGGAAAGAACAGGAGGGAAACGGTCACTACCAACTTTAACAAAGGCATAAAGATTGCCTTATAAATCTCTGACATCGTGGTCGGCACGGAATTTATGGGCCCTCAACATTTTCCAAATCTTATTATTTTTGATAGGCCAATTCACTTCACCTGATTAAGCTTTTGGCACATCATTCATATCGTAATTCTCCTCCTAATTAAGGGCAGGTATAATCACCCTTCTATTTTGGGAATGTGTGGGTTGTATTATTCTTATAAAAAAACACCCTTCTAAATTTTGAAATTCTAAAAATAAAACATAAGTTTTTTTTTTTTTTGAAAAACAGCGAATTTCATAAATTACTTAGCAACACATGATACATCATTGTGGAGATGAGATAACAGAAAAGACAGGATCTCATCTGTCCACAACGTAGAATTATTACAATTAATAACAAATTTGGCTAAACTATGAGCAACTACATTTCCTTTCCTACTTATCCAAGCCGCTGAGAAAACTTGAAAATTTGTCTTCAACCTATTGATTTGATCAATAAACTTACCAACTTTAGATAAGATCTCATGCTCCTCTGATAAGGCTTCAATAAAGGACTTGGAATCACCTCAAGAATAATGCTAGTAAAGCCAAGATCCACCGCCAATTGCATAGCAGAGGCAGCCAAAGCCTCCACACAGTCTGCACTTAAAACACCTTCAACTTTTGGACTTAAACCAGACAAGAAATTCCCAAAACAATCCCTAATAACAACACCAATTCCAGAACATTTGGAGGAGCGAAAAACAGCCCCACCAAAATTCACTTTACAAAAAACCAGATTGTGGCGGTTTCCATATGGAACTAATCTCGGCTTGAGTTGATACATGAGAGGATTGCCTTGAACGATTAACAGCATGAAAATGATGAATATATTCCCTTGTGAACTGGACAATTTCCCCCGATGATCTGGAATAATCTTCAACTCGAATCTTGTTACAATTATACCACAGAACCTATAAAATAACAGTGACCAATTCTAACCAATCAGCTGTTACCTTCTCAGAAATATATACCAGCCATTCTTGAATATTAAAAACACCATCCATTGGAAAATGAATTGCAGCAACCTCCCAAACCGCTTGCGCAAAAGGACAAGTTACAAACAAATGGAATGAAGACTCAGAAGGATACCCACATAAATAGCATTCATTATTTACTAACAACTTTCTTCTTTGTAAATTGCACAAAGTAGGTAAGATATCAATAAATAATTGCCATTGAAAATTTTTGACTTTGTTAGGCACATGAAGCGACCAAATGAACATACCAGGCCAACAATCCAGAGCATTACTTGTTGATGCAGCATTTTTCTGAAGCAAGATGTCTAAATAAATTCTTCTCAATGGCTAAATGATAAGCACTACGAATTGAAAAATTCCCAAACTTAGAAAACTGTCATACTACTCTATCCTTTGGTAGTAAAGGACAAAATTGGGATGGAAAGAATATCTTCAACCTCAAAATCCAAAAACCATTGTTTAAGCAATTGAACATTCCAACTTTTCAAACTGTTATCAATAAAATAGCTAACAGAAATATTATCACACAGATTTGGCAATTGAGTGATAATTTTGAAAGTATTTGGTTGAGGAATCCACCTATCAAACTTCACCTTTATGCTTCTACCATTTCCAACTCTCCACCTTAATCCAGCTTCCACCAAATGCCTAGATGACAGTATGCTACACCATGAATAAGATGGATTAGAACCCAAAGTTGCTTCACCTAAAGTGGAGGTTGGAAAATACTTTGCCTTTAGGACTTTGAACAGTAAAGACTCAGAATTTTGAAGTAGCCTCCAGTATTGTTTAGCTAATAAAGACATATTAAAAGCTTCAACATCTCGAAAGCCCATACCCCCTCTTGATTTTGGAAGACATAATTTCTGCCAAGCCAACCAGTGAATCTTCTTAACTTCTGAAGAATTACCCCACCAAAAGCTAGCCATTAATTGATTAATTTCTGAACACAACCCCGATGGAAGCTTAAAACAAGACATAGCATATGTAGGAATAGCTTGAGCGACCGCCTTTATTAACACTTCCTTTCTAGCCTGTGATTGTAGCTTGCCTTGCCATCCTTGAACTTTATTCCATATTCTCTGTTTAATGCCATCAAACAACTGTTTCTTTCTTCTGCCCATGACTGATGGAAGACCCAAATATTTGTGATGACTAACAACCACTTTCAATGGCAATTCCTGCAAAACAGCCATCCTGTCGGCTAGACAAGTCTTGTTAGNTCTGCCCATGACTGATGGAAGACCCAAATATTTGTGATGACTAACAACCACTTTCAACGGCAATTCCTGCAAAATAGCCATCCTGTCGGCTAGACAAGTCTTGTTAGAAAAAACCACTTATGATTTTGAAATATTAATTGTTTGTCTAGATGCCTTCTCATAAGCTTTCAAACATCTATTAATTCAATGGGCATTGGTGTTGTTGGCTCTCGCATAAAAGAAACTATCATCCGCGAATAAAAGATGAGTAAAGGTTGGAGCACTACGACCAATTGCGAGACCTTGTATCCCTCCCAATTCAACTTCTTTTTGAAGTAAACCTGAAAGACCTTCAGAGCGTAACATGAAAAAGATAAGCAGATAATGGATCACCTTGACGCAAACCTCGTTGTGGATGAAAAAATCCCAACTGCTCTCCATTAAGCATTACCGAATATGAGACTGTTGTAACACAGGTCATGATTAGTTTGACCCACCTATCATCAAATCTCATCATATACATAATTGCTTCTTGAAAGGTTCACTCTACCCTATCATAAGCTTTACTCATATCCAACTTCAGAGACATAAATCCATTGCGACCAACTCTCTTCCTCTTCATATGGTGATTCAATTCAAAGGCGACCAAAACATTATCTATTATTAATCTTCCAGGAACAAAAGCACCTTGAAATTCAGAAATAATATCCGGGAGAAGCCGTCTTAACCTATTAGCAAGAACCTTTGATATTATCTTATACACCACATTACACAAACTTATTGGGCGAAACTGAGACATCTCCTATGATAATCTTAGGAATCAAAACAATATGAGTATAGTTGATCTTCTGACATAAAATATCACGATTCAAAAAATTCAACACCTGTTTAGTTACTTGATTGCCAATTAGATTCCAAAATTGTTGATAAAAGATTGGACACATACCATCTAGACCAGGAGCTTTAGATGGGTGAAATTGCATGATAACTTTCTCTACCTCCTCCCTACAGAAAGGTTGAATAAGAGAATGATTCATGGAATGTGAAACCCGTCGAGGTACTGCTTGTAAAACCTCCAACAAATCTTCCTCACTTGGGGAAGAAGATGTAAATAAATTCTGAAAATACTGCACTGATATTTCCACCAATTGCTCCCTGTTTGTACATCAAGTCCTATTCTCATCCCTTAAGCCTTTGATTTCATTTCTCTGCCTTCTTATACTTGCATAGACATGAAAATAACTTGTGTTTCTATCTCCTTCCTTCAACCACAATTCTTTTGATCGTTGTTTCCATTTAATTTCCTCTGCTTCCAAAAGCATTTGACTAATAGCATGAAGTTCTCGCAATTCAGTTCTATCCTCTTTCGTGATTAATCCTGATTGTAATACCTAAATCCGATGATTAATATCCGACAATCTTCTTTGAATATTGTCAAATTTTCCCCTATTCCATTGCAACAGACCCACTCTACAAGACTTTATTCTATCCAAGAACACATTTCCCTCAGATGAACCATGAGCATTATTCCAATAGTTATCAATGACTTCTCGGCAAGAACTATCCAGCAACCACATGCACTCAAATCGAAACCTTCTATTTGTTTTCCAACACTGTGAACCATTAAAAGAATCCCGGACTTTCAACAATAGTTGACAATGTTCAGAATGAGTAGTAACAATATAAGTAACAGAGCAACCCACATGACTACTAAACCAAGATGATGAATCCCAAACCCTATCTAATCTTTCTTTAACTGTAGCTGGAGCCAAGGATCCATTACACCAAGTATAAGGACTACCCTGAAAACCCAAGTCTAATAAACCACATTCATTCATAACACTTCTATAATCCCTCATTTGCCAAAAAACTCGATCTTGACCCCCCTCCTTTTCAGTAACATCCAATATTTCATTACAATCTCCTCCACAAATGCAAGGCATGTCAAATCTATTATGCAATTTGAATAACAAATGCCATGAATGTTTACGCTTGCTGGTGTTTGGATGGCCATAAAATCCAATGAATCTCCACTGATCACCATCACCCTCATTTATAATTACTTCAATATGAAAGTCCAAAAAACTTTTAACACTTACCAAGAAATCACGCTTCCATAACAAAGTTAGACCACCCGCCTGCCCTCTTGAGTCCACTATGAGACCTTGAGTTAAGCTAATTCTTTGTTGAATCAATTGAAATCTACTGGAGTCGAGTTTGGTTTCCATTAAAAAAACCAATTTGGGAGCTTCCTTCTTCACAATATGATGAAGGGCACGAACTATCTAAGGGTTCCCAAGCCCTCGACAGTTCCATATAACACCAATCATGGCGATCGGCGGGACTGAGAATCAGTCTTCGCCGATACAAAAATTGAAAGAGCTTTTTCTACGTGTCCATCTTTACTTTTCGATATAGTTTCTACTGTTGGACATCCCTTTTTCTTCTTTAAACGATTCCCACCATCTGTGCAACCCGTTGACGACCTCGAATTAACCTCCTCTACTTTGAAACCCCTTGACCTCTTTAAGCTATCCTCATCTTTGTTGACACCCTTTGCCTTTTTAAAATATCCCCAACATCCTTGCCCTTGACACTCAACTTCTTACCATAGATGACTTCATGAATGGACCAATCCGGAGTTCTTTTAGAGGGTTTGAAAGCCCTAACAGATTTTCCTTTTTCCACCCGAGAGAAGCATCGACGAGGTGCTATATTCAACANCATAGATGACTTCATGAATGGACCAATCCGGAGTTCTTTTAGAGGGTTTGAAAACCCTAACAGATTTTCCTTTTTCCACCCGAGAGAAGCATCGACAAGGTGCTATATTCAACCCCACCTCTACAAATTGATTAGAACTTCCATGTAGAAACGAAGATGGAGTCTGTGTTTTGTTAAGAGAACTCTTCTGTACACGAGATCATTGGAAAAGGATTGGCGCTATTGCTACACCCACTTCAAAGAGTAAATTAGTCACTGTAACATCCTCAAATGGAATATTTGGGTCAAGTTTTCCAGAATCATCCAATAGTGAAACATTTTGGGACATGGGCTTAATAGAAGCAGCCTTCTTTTCATGGGCCACCAAAGTCAAATCCGAATCCATATTTAAAACTAGACCCGAACCATAATCATTTTGCTTTCCCAGAATATTACCCAAATTTGGAAGCACCAATAAAGTTGGGTTAGTTACAAAGTCCTTCTTTGAAAATTGAACATCCTCTAATCGATGAGTAGTTAGCTCCGTAACTGCTGCCAATGACTCCATAACTGCCGCCATTGGAGAAATATTCACATCCACGGCCAAAATATCACACTTGACCAAAAGAATGGATTTTTATAACAGTTGCATTAAGCCAAGGACCAAAGTCATTGCGAATTTTCAAACCTTCAACTTCCTTCTGACTTACATCGCAATTTTTCAAAATATGACCCATACGACTACACTGATAACACACATTAGGCAGTCTTTCATACTGAAAAATGGCAAAACTCTTTTCACCCCCAGGATTTCGAAAACATGATTCCGTGCCGTAATGGTTCAAGAATATTAATTCGTGCTCTCATTCGGAAGAATTTCATACAACCATCAACAGTAGCCCTAATTTCAACTGCTTCAAATTTCTGGAAGCTATCTGCAATCTTCAGAACAACTTCCTTTGTACAACACTCACTTGGAATTCCTAACACATGAATCCAAAAGTAAGTTGTATCAAAATCCATTTGCGAAACTTGCCTATTCAGAGCCCAATGTTGACAAACTAGGAGTTAATTATCAAAACACCAAGGTCCCATATGATTAATTCTTGCAACATCCCTTTGGTCTTTGAAGAAGAACTGGAATAAGTTGGGGTTAATTTTGATCACTCGCAAATCCTTACAACCCCAAACAGAGGACATAGTATTGCAGAGAATAATAGGATTAACATGCTTTGTAGTGATTAGTTTACCAAAAAAACTCTTTTCACATTCAGTAATACCATCAACAATATCAGAAATACTAATATCCAGAACACTACTTTTCTCAACAGAAAGGGAAAAAGACTTAAACTATTGAAAAAACTATTCATCCATATGGGAGACAATGTTCAGACCAAGGAACAGAAAAAATAACAGACTAAACGAAGCAATCACGAAACAATCAACGCTGAAGAAATTGACACCACAATTAATAATGGGAACCCAAATCAGAAAACCAAAACCATAGAGATATAACCCGAAGGAAAACCACAGNCTTAAACTATTGAAAAAACTATTCATCCATATGGGAGACAATGTTCAGACCAAGGAACAGAAAAAATAACAGACTAAACGAAGCAATCACGAAACAATCAACGCTGAAGAAATTGACACCACAATTAACAATGGGAACCCAAATCAGAAAACCAAAACCATAGAGATATAACCCGAAGGAAAACCACAGAGAAGAGTCTCATAGGAAGCCTAGATCTTTTAGATTAGATTGCTTATATTAGAATTTACATTTTTATTTTGTAACTACAATAAAATCGGATTTAGATCCCCTCCATTATCCATTTCCTTCAATTCCCCTTAATGCATTGTTAAATAAGTGACAAGTGTAAGATTTTGAATTTCAATAGACAAAAGTTTTTCTCATTTATTTTATTATTGGTGGAGTGTTAACCATTATTAAGGAATTTTCCTACAAAAAAAAAATCTTGTCCATTGAAATTCATATTCTTACATATGTCATTCATTTAACAATGTATTTAAAGGAATTGAAGAGAAGAGGTAATGGAGGGGATCCGAATCCCAATAAATCAATTTTTTTATACTAGTTGATGCACACATTCGTTGCATGTGGGCCATTTTAAATATCAAATAGTATATATTACTGGAGCAAAGATTGTGTAATATTTATATTATTCAAATCATCATAAAACATGAATGCAGAAAATTGTAATTCTAGTGTTATAGATGACAGAAAGAAAATATACACTTCAAAAATATTATAATTATTTACAAACTATTTTACGTTATGGTTATGGATGTGAATATGCTTAAGAAAATCATTTTTATTCTTCAAAACCATGAAAACATACAACATGCCTTTGTCGTTATGAGATATTACAATATCTCATGACACATTCAGTAAAAAAAAATGTAGATCCTAAACTATGGATAAATGTGCATACTGAAATTATTGAAACTAACAGTGTTGCCTAACCAAATGGAGCCTAGGAAGAAATTAATTGAGATCATATGCATGATCACTATCAAAATATGATATATGCATCATGATTTCTTTATCCTTGACTTGTTAATTCATTTCATCTAGAAAAAATCTATTCAACTTGAAATTATCAAACCAATGTGGTTGTATAAGAGTCGATGAACCAAATTTTCACAAACAATTACAATAGGGATTTTTCATGTCACTTCTTTTACACTCCTTACTTGTACAAATTCTACAATATTAGTGAATCTTTAAATTGGAAAGAAGCTAGAATTAAATTTTAAAAAAATTAGACGCAGCCCATATGTCTAAGTAGTTTATGACATCTGACAAAAAAAACATTACTTGCACTAGAAATCAGAATAATAAGACCAGAACCTATTTAATCCAAAGGACCAAAAATTATTGTGTGTACACAATGGGGAAAACCCAAAAAAAATCCCAAATAAGAAACAGAGATAGAGGGGCGAACAACAAAAACAAATGAAATCAAAAAAATCATAGGAACTGTGACGTTGAACCAAAAACAAAGGTACCAACCCAAGTGGCACGAGAAACATATACATGCCTAAATCCAAACACCATCACCAACAAAAACACACCCTTGTTTGAGATCCAATGTCTTTAGGTTTAGATTATAACCACTATAATCTTTGTATACCGAGGAAAAGAAAAAACTAAGATAAAAATACAAAATCAATCAGTGAAAATTATCAAAACTATAACAATTCAAAAACCTAATTTGATAATTCATTAAAATGATGGTTGTAGTTTTTGTCAATTGCTACAAAAGAGAAGTCGAAGCTGATGGGTATTTGTTGGTGAGAAAAATATCTGATAGATATTTTTAGTGACCTCGTAGCCCTTTTTAACTTCAATCCATAGAAAGGTTTTATAATGGCCAAATAACTTTCACCTTTTTTTTTTTTTTCTGTAACGGAGTTACGAAACTCCAAGAGTTTTAATAACTATCAGGTTTCCACAATTCAAGTGATGTTGTAATTTAACTCAAGCAAGTAACTTAATTAGGTTGATGAACAATAGTTGCTAATAGCTTAATAAAAAATTAGTGCAGTAGATAGATTAATTAATTAATTACGATAATTAATCTAGTACTAATTTAACTTTATACAATTGTTTGAGGGTAATGATGACAATTTTTTTTTTTTTGATTTAGTAGCCAGTAGTATAGATACAAATATAAATATAGATATATAGTATATAGATATATACAGGAAGATGGACAATCTTTAGGAGTTGTGTTCCTCCATCTCTCTTGTTTTATAAACTAATAATTTAATGGAGAAATTAGAACATGAGGAGTATGTCATAAATGATATTAATATAATAAATAAAAGGTGTATTTTATTATCTTTATAATATATTTATTCATGGTAGTTTAGATAATTAAGAAATGTTAGAGGTAAAAGAGGATAATGAAAGTTTTTCAAAGATACATACTTTTTAAAGTAGTATAGATTTAAAGGGATTCCCATGCAACCTCCCTCCCTAGTCCGCTCCCAAGAATAATGCAATGCATGTGTGTACGTAAATAAAACACACAAAAAATTCTTTCTAGTATCATAATGTTGNATGCCTTTGTCGTTATGAGATATTACAATATCTCATGACACATTCAGTAAAAAAAAATGTAGATCCTAAACTATGGATAAATGTGCATACTGAAATTATTGAAACTAACAGTGTTGCCTAACCAAATGGAGCCTAGGAAGAAATTAATTGAGATCATATGCATGATCACTATCAAAATATGATATATGCATCATGATTTCTTTATCCTTGACTTGTTAATTCATTTCATCTAGAAAAAATCTATTCAACTTGAAATTATCAAACCAATGTGGTTGTATAAGAGTCGATGAACCAAATTTTCACAAACAATTACAATAGGGATTTTTCATGTCACTTCTTTTACACTCCTTACTTGTACAAATTCTACAATATTAGTGAATCTTTAAATTGGAAAGAAGCTAGAATTAAATTTTAAAAAAATTAGACGCAGCCCATATGTCTAAGTAGTTTACGACATCTGACAAAAAAAACATTACTTGCACTAGAAATCAGAATAATAAGACCAGAACCTATTTAATCCAAAGGACCAAAAATTATTGTGTGTACACAATGGGGAAAACCCAAAAAAAATCCCAAATAAGAAACAGAGATAGAGGGGCGAACAACAAAAACAAATGAAATCAAAAAAATCATAGGAACTGTGACGTTGAACCAAAAACAAAGGTACCAACCCAAGTGGCACGAGAAACATATACATGCCTAAATCCAAACACCATCACCAACAAAAACACACCCTTGTTTGAGATCCAATGTCTTTAGGTTTAGATTATAACCACTATAATCTTTGTATACCGAGGAAAAGAAAAAACTAAGATAAAAATACAAAATCAATCAGTGAAAATTATCAAAACTATAACAATTCAAAAACCTAATTTGATAATTCATTAAAATGATGGTTGTAGTTTTTGTCAATTGCTGCAAAAGAGAAGTCGAAGCTGATGGGTATTTGTTGGTGAGAAAAATATCTGATAGATATTTTTAGTGACCTCGTAGCCCTTTTTAACTTCAATCCATAGAAAGGTTTTATAATGGCCAAATAACTTTCATTTTTTTTTTTTTTTTCTGTAACGGAGTTACGAAACTCCAAGAGTTTTAATAACTATCAGGTTTCCACAATTCAAGTGATGTTGTAATTTAACTCAAGCAAGTAACTTAATTAGGTTGATGAACAATAGTTGTTAATAGCTTAATAAAAAATTAGTGCAGTAGATAGATTAATTAATTAATTACGATAATTAATCTAGTACTAATTTAACTTTATACAATTGTTTGAGGGTAATGATGACAATTTTTTTTTTTTTGATTTAGTAGCCAGTAGTATAGATACAAATATAAATATAGATATATAGTATATAGATATATACAGGAAGATGGACAATCTTTAGGAGTTGTGTTCCTCCATCTCTCTTGTTTTATAAACTAATAATTTAATGGAGAAATTAGAACATGAGGAGTATGTCATAAATGATATTAATATAATAAATAAAAGG